CTCCTCTCTCAGCCCTTCGCCCCAAAGCCATCTTTTTTGTGAGTTCTACCTGATAAATACTTTAGTCTACACATTGCTTCATCTGTGATTTCTCTTCTCTGAGTAATTAACCATCTTTTAGAAACTCTACATGTGCTTACTGTGCTTACTGATTCCTATCTCAGCCCATCCATGCTAGGATACAAGTTCCATAAGAATAAAAATCTTTGTTTAATTTTATTATTATTATTTTTTAATGTATTTGGTTGTTGCAGGGTCTCACTATGCAGCTCAGACTCGTAGTGATCCTGTTTTCAGCCTCCCCAGTGCTGGGATTACAGGTATAAGCCACTACACCTCAGATTCTGACTGGCTCAGCCTACCCTGGGGGTGGGGCTGGCACAGCATGTAGTGCTGGGGACTGAACCGCGGTCCTTGTGCTTGCCTAAGCTTGCCTAAGCAGGCGCTTTAGTCCCCTGAGCTATCTTGCCGTCCCTGAGAAATCTTTGCTTTATACACCGGTACTTTCCAAGTACAAAGAACATTGTCTGGAACATGACAGATTTTAAGTAAGTAGCAGTGGGATGTATGAACTAACAACGCAGGCTGCGGTACCTAAGGCAGTACTGGGCGGGAGTTCTGTGCACAGGCTGGGTGAGAGTCAAGTCAGGGATACAGAAGAAAATTTGTAACATATTTTTTTGGTACCAGGGATCAAACTTGGGACCTTGCACTTGCCAGGCAGGTACTTATACTGCTGAGCTATCTTCCTGGCCCTGTAACATGTTTTCTAAAACTACAAGACTTAGTTTTTCCTAAAAAGATCTATTTGGGCAGCATTTGGCTTCAGAATTTCCACAAAAATACTTAAAAAAATTTTTTTATGGAGAAAGTGAATGAAACTAATAAGTGATATATACGCCAAAAAACAAAAACAAAACAAAACAAACCCTGCTGTAGGCACCAACTACCTCGGAGCTCCCTCTTTCCATACACTTCTGCATCTGGTAAGTGGCTGGCCCCACACCAACTGCTGATTTTATTTTCTTAATCTAAGTTCTGCTCCCATTACCCTCCAATTTCTATTCTTCATCCTCAGGGAAAGAGGGAGCAGTTACTGCGCGGGCATTCTCACATCCTCCAAGCAGTGGCATAGGTGTTAATCTTGTGCTTGTGTTTGATGTGGCTAATGATGGCTACGCGGGAGCTGAGGGTTTATTAATATGCAGGGCTCTCACCTCATTAGTGGCGATGTATGTTTTGAAGTTAAGCTGCAGTGTTTGCTGTAATGTCGGATCTGGCCTCACACACTTTCTCACTGTTCATTTTCTTTGTTTTTACCTGCAGTCGGTGCATGCTCTGCTTCCAGAGTTCTCACACATGACTCCCAATAAACACAACTTTTCCACAGTGCTTAATGTTGGTGGGAGTTTTAAACATTTTTAGTAATTACATGTGTATGACATCATATCTTTGCCTTATCTTAAAGATTTACAGGGTTTTTAACCTACAAATATAAAGTATACTAGACTCTTTGGCTAGGTTTGGGTATGGAGTGTTCTTATTAACAGGATGAAGTGATTAATTCATACTCTGAAAACATACCTTTGTTATTAGCACTTGAGAGTTTGTATTCTCAAAAATATCACCCCTCAACTAAATACTGAAAAGGAAAAAACAAATAATAGTAACAGCTGACTGAATGTAACAGTTGATGATGTATTATAAACAGCAATTCCCAGCCATTTCCAGCCAACGGGACCAGCAGAGCAGACTAACAAGACAAGGACTGGGTGGCTCATCCTTGCTAACTGTTCCACACTGACAGTCCCCAGCGACACACGGCAAAAGAGTTTGGATTCCCAACACTTTGTTTGGACATTATTAGTCGTGTTTTATAAATTTCCCAATATATTATTTGCATATATGTTTTCTATGGCTAAACACACAAGGGCTCTGTATTCTAGGGAGGCCATTTAGATATGAGAAATATTTTGTTCTCTTTTCTTATTGGGTAATTGAGTTTATCTCCATTTCTTTTTTAAAGATTTTAAATCTGTGGTAAATATAAAACTATGTCTCTCCTTTCTCACCCTTTTATTTGGGGGCAGCATTAGGAAATGAAGAAAAAGGGCCAGCCAGATAGCTCAGCGGCTCAAAGCTGGGTTCCATCCCTGACCGCAGGGCATGCTGAGATGGACGGCTGAGACGGCGTGGTGGCACATGTCTGTAATCCCAGTGCTTGGGAGGCTGAAAACAGGAGGATCACTACAGGTCCAATCTGTGTAGTGAGACCCTGTAGACTCTGTACTAAATACACACACAAAAAAAGAAAAGAAAAAACAAACAAACAAACTGATGAACACAGGAGACGACAGGTATTAATACCAAGACAAAGGAGGAAAACGCTTGCTTAGATCATTCAGGGTTTTCTTTCATGATTTCCTTTCTACTTTCTCTTCTCACAGAGCCTGTGCCAGGCTCCTCCATCCCTCAGAAAGGGACTCTTGTCTTTGATTTGACAATGTGACACATATTCAGCTAGAATTTCCGTCATCAATCAGAAGAAGCAAAAGTATCTGTGCTTTTAAGCAAGGAGAGCAGTGAGCTTATATAGCAAAAGTGTATAAACAAGTATATTACCTATTTAATTGCCTTAGCTGAACTTAAAAGCTCTGATCTTTAATTGCCTGATTGAACTCATATAAAAAGCTACAATTTTTTAATCAAGGAGAAAATTAAATAGCTTTTTGGTAAATAACGAGGCATCTTTAATCTTATTTTTATGGAATCCAAGTTATTAAATATGGACAAAAGCCCCTCTAAAATATTAGGTTAACAACTAATCGGTCTAGGGCAAATTTCTCATTACAGTGCTTTACAAAAGTCTTCGGGGATATTTGTCTCCTTCCACTCTTAAATGAAAACACATGCTTTTAAATCCAGAAAGTAAAAGTGTCCATTAATAGCTAGGAAACGCAAAAGCCAAACATGTAAATGTTTACAGAGGAGAAGCCAGGATGATTTCAGAATAACTGAGATAAGCCCCCATCCACTGGAGTTCTCAGCGCTCCGAAGTTCCCACGTGTGTTTAGTGAGGTGTAATGACGCAGCACACTTGTTCCCACAGCGCGGTACCTATCATGCTGGGAATGAGTCTTTGTCTGCTCTGAGATTCGTAGTCTCTCATCCAGACAGGTGCAGACACACTTTCACTCCCTGGTGCTCACTTCAGACTGAAATCTCCACACCTGCCTTCACCCAGCCCCTCCTGGCCTCTTCCCATACCTGGGGGTGCCTTGTACTCTCGGAACTGGGTGGGCCAGCAAAGACTGAAATGACAGGAGAGACCCAGGGTTCCCTTTGGAAGCCTCCATGGCTTTGATCAGCTGTCAGTCAGGCTGCTGCAGCCCTAAAAGGTCACAGATCAGCGAGCCTTTCCTAGTCTACTTGCAGCAAGCACCAAGAAGGACCTGCTGGCCTCTGGGAAGTTCTGGTCAACCATGCTTACACACAGACAGCGGAGGTGGTGGCCCTGGGAATCTGACTCTAGCCTTATTTTCATATCCACATAAATCTATTTGAAACGTTTGTATCAAGATCACATTTAAAATGAAAAATTCAGTTATTTCTCCCTAACACAAAGTGGAAATAAAACCAAGTAATATAGATACAGGAGCAGTACCAACTTGTCAGCCTGATTTCTAACTTTAAAGAGAAAAAGCCAAGATGATTTCAGAATAACTAAGACATATTTTCCTAGAGTTCTCGGCGCTACTAAGTTTCCTCACAGACAGTTATGGGTAGAGCCAATCCATTCAAACCAGAACTATCCCACACACCTAAGCACATAGTGAGCCTGGGCTACCCCCTCCGAACATCACTCCCACCCCCAGGCACAGCCCCTGGGGCAGGCTTTGCTCCTGAGTGCTGACACCTTGCTCCAATATGGACGGCGTGGCAGACACCTATAAAAATCAAAACCGTAAGAACTGACCACTAGCTTCATAATAAAACGGCTACGACCACTTTATGGGCTGGTGGGCGAAAAGAAGTACACAAATAAAAAGAGGCAATGTAAATTGTATCACGTTACACAGCATCTTCTTTTAATCTCTCACCCTCCGGATGTGTCGGATATATTAACACACTTATTTATACCCAAGGAAAGTATAGTGGGATTTCAAAAGAAAACTGGAACCACTAGGACACTAGCACACTAAAGCCACTTACAAGAGAAAACATCCCTTGGTGACATACGTACTACTACAATTGTAGACTTCCTTCCTCTTATAGTTTATACCTTAAAAAAGCCCCACAGAACTTTCTTTAATCACATTTAATTGTATGCTGCTGCCTCTCCCACATGTACATAAAGCCAGGGAGAGCAGATGTGTAAAATTAAACAGTACTGTGGTAGCATCAGGCCCTGATGTTGCTTTGTATAGTCTTTTCCTCACTTAATAATTTGTTTCTAAGTGAACTCAGACATCTTGAGAACATTAAAAAAACAAAAGGCAATGACTTTCGCAACATTCAACAGCTATCTGATTATCCTCCCCCAAGTTCTGGGAACTATTTCTTGGGCTTTCACCACCTCCTTACTGAGCTTTGCTTTCCAGGTCTGAGCACCAGTCTCTTAAGAAATGAAGCACAATGACATCTGATCCATTACTAAAAGGAACGATGCAACTGCACAGAAAGAGAAGGCAGTGCAGCACGACACACAGGGAAGTAAGGCGAACGGATCCTGTCATTTTGAAATGTTATGAAATGTCTTTTGACATGTTTGGTAAGTGAAATTCACAAAAATACAGTATCAAGCTTATAATCTGAAAGGGAGCAGGAAACATGAAGGAAGAACACAAGCAAATTCACACTTATATAAGCACCCACTATTTTGATTTCAAATATGTCAGCTGGCTTAAGTGTCCTATCAGTTATTTACTTTAACGTTCAAAGCATCTGGAAAGCCTCAGCTGAACCCCAAATTAAGTCAGAGCCTGTGCCCCAGCTCATACCTCTGTGTAAAATCTTCAAGCTCCACAAATAGGTAAGGCCTTTGACAACCTAATGTATGAAAGAGAAAAAATAATACAGTTACGGATTTTATAGAAAACTTCATACAGTTAAACATTAGCCATAAGTTTTTCTTTAAAACTCCCAAGTAATAAGCATTTACTGAAGATTTTCTACTTCTGTGTTTTTTTCCCATTACACTGAAAGTGAACGCAAGGCATCCCTTCCTTGGGAGCCTGGCGTAATGCTTGTCAAATAGACTGTGTGTGTAGACACGGGAACTGGGAAGGTCACACACTAAACTCCTATGGTGCTATGAGCAGGAGAGGAGCGGGCAGAAAAAAGAACCAAGACTGTCTTATTGTTTTATATATCGCATGACTCTTCTGGAAGTCGTGACATTTATGACCAAGGAGAAGCTTTTTTCCTTTTCGTAGTTCTGGGGTTTACAAATTCAGGTCTTGAACACATCACACATACACTTTCCAACTGAGCTACATCCCCAGGCCAAGGAAGTTTTGAGTTAACTCATGAATAAGGTGGGAGACAAAATAGAAACCACTTTTCCCACCAGTAGTCAAAGGCCCTAAATAAAGCAATCAGTTGATGTGGAAAAAAAAAAAGAAGAAAGCATTATATCTTCGGCACAGGTGTTTAGGGAAGCCTCTAGTGCATTTTTTTTTTCAATATTCTAATAACTTTTCTTTTTTTAAAATTTTTTCCATAACTTTATTGATAAACAAATAGCAGTAAGATAGTTTCAAATCAAATTGGTAGGACAGTTTCAATAATTAACACATTGCATATCTAATAACTTTTCTGTAAGTTTAAAATAATTTCAAAGTAAGGAGTCCCTCCCCCAAGTTTCAGAATTTACTGGGGCTAGAAGTCCAGCTGGTGCAAACTATGTGCGTGGAAGAGCTATTCAGATAATATCACAAGTGCAGGCCAAGAAAACACCAATGCACATTACATCTGGATTTTTCTCTGCAATGATCTGAATAATTAATCCAACCAGAAACTGAAAAACAAACAAACAAAAAAACCCAAGATGTTTTAAAGACCCTAATACATAGTTTACAAGTTTATGGAAGGCTTAATCAGGGTTTACCATTATAAACTTTCAAAATCTCGAGCTCAGGAGTGTAGCTTAGTGGTACAGCACTTGCCTAGCATCTAGGGGGCCCTGGATTTGCACCCCAGAGTTGCAAAAATAAAAATATCCAAAATCTGTATATAAAAATTGTTATGGAGGGAGATACACACATTTTATTCCCAACCACTGATCCTGTATACACTTGCATATGATATTCTAATTTCCAGGCTAATTGCAGATTAGGTACCAAAAAGAAGTGAATGAACCAGTATCATTCATAATTTACTCAAAGAATTTCAAAACTCTTTTTATCACAAAAATTGTAGGTTGAGAATCAAACGAATGAGAAAACTCATTCGTATGCTGAGTGCTTTATAGATCTTGAAAATGATGAAAAGAGGGTGACTAAACACACAAAGGTTTTAGCTGATCAAACAAGCCTACAAACAATACAAAAAAAGTGCAAATGCAAAGAGAAATTTACAAATGCTAAAGATCTACAAGACAAAAATCTATATCCTTTAATGCTGAGCAGAAGTTAACATATTTTAATAGTTCTCACAGAGAGAATGTAGTCTTGAAAGATTTGCCAACATGGTACAATCAATTTTATTACATATTTATCTATTCTAAGAGAAGAGAATAAATTGTTATAGCAAATTATTTCTTCCAGAGTTTGGAATAATTGACATTACAATGAAGTACATGCTCTCAACAGAAAATATAAAAAACCAAAATATTAATAAATGTATAATACACTATCACACACTGAATGCACATTATGAAATGTTATACTGTACCCCATAAATACATATAATTACCATATATAAATAAAAATTAAAATTTATTCTAAAATAAAAAAGTTAATGGCAATTTTAGCACAGAGGGAAACAAAAATGTTTCTAAAAGTATTTAAGAAAAAATAACATCAATAATGAAAACAATTTTACATCTCCAAGTAATAGGAATGACGCTCCCTGGTTGTCTAGTGGTTAGGATTCAGTGCCAAGTAACAGGAAGAGGTCATTTTCTTTAGCATGGAAGTAATGATCTTTTCAATTCTTGGGAAATTGGGTTACACTTCTCAGTTTAGAAGCTTAATTGCATACCTGCCTGTTACAGACAGCACAGTATTAAAATTCACAAAAAATGAATAGCCAACAGGTACACGAAGTATAGGCAATCCAGACATGCAGGTTGACAGGTTAAACAAAAAAGTAAAAATCAATACTGTATTGATTGATATATTCTAAAGTTATAAATTTTGTTAGATTTAAAAAGTATTCTTCCAACTGGCAACAGCCTAGATTTCCTTTAAAGCATGTATATATCGGAGCATAAGGGAACTGGGATCTGTGCATGGAAATCTAGAGCATTATCATCCGTATTCAGCGGGCCGGGCTTCACCATAATGATTTGACAAAGCCTTGACATGAGAGCCCCCAGATCTGCTGTCAATCACCCGCTCCTTGACATGTCAAGCGCACACCCTTCCAGGGACAGCTTCAATCAACATTAGCTCTCAAAATACAGGATGCAGTGTCACTGCTTTAGAAATGAGAGGAAAAATAAAATGTAGTCAGTGGCATGGGAGGCAGAAAGGTGCTCCTTTTCCTAGGGATTTTGGTGGATAGCAGATAAAAGTCATGGAGCATGCTGGAAGCCTGCAGTCAGAAACTTCATATGGATTTCATGGAAGAAAAACCTCCTTTCCCACACCTTCTCTAGGAGAAAAGCGCAACCATATGTCTTACAGGCTGCAGGTCCAACCTGGAGCGAGCCGTGGCTCTATGGACCTGCACGGCATGCTAGGTTATTAGAAGGTGGAAAATAGTTTATCTGGAGGGGAAGAGATGTCTAAATGTGTTTGTAAGACACACAAAAAAATTAAAGGCCAGGTCATGGCACTGCATGCCTGGAGTCTCAGCTACTTAGGGGCTGAAGCAGGAGGATCACAGGAACACAGGACCCGCCCGGGCAACAGAGCGAGACCCTCTCTAAAAAACTAATGCGAAGCAGGCTTCAATTTGTGATTCTCCTGCCTCAGCCTCCTAGCACTTTGGGAGGAATTACAAACCCGTGCCACCACACCCAGCCTCTTTTTTTTTTTACCAGTTTTTCTTTTTACCCCCCCCCCTTAATTTTATTTTTCTCCCTCAAGAATTGTGGTGAAGCAGAGTAAAAGAATAATGTGTCTGAAGTCATATAATCCTGTGTTCAAATTAGGATGCACTAATTAGACAATAGTTCTGGGCCAGTTCATTTTCCCAACCATCATTTTACATAGAATAGCATATGTTCCATAATCTACCACTTGCAGGGTTGCGGTAAAGACTAGATGGCATAATATATGTCCGTAAGTATGCCACAGTGATTGGCATAGGAAATACTTGGCTTTTATTTCCCACCTTCTGAGTATTTGGCTTTAAACTTGGCAATAGCTGAAACCACCCTCATGGGTTTTCTGGCCTCACCGAGGAAACCTGCAGCAAAGTCTAGGATCACAGCAGGATCCTGGGAACCTAGGCAGGCCATGAGACACGTATCACATAAACCACTACCCTCAGCCCATCAATTTGCCAGTTTCATTTTGATTGGTATAATCCTGTCAGTGTCAGGGAGTAATTAGCCTTGTGCCAATCTGTTTGTCAGCTGTAACAAAGAATTAGTCCAGTTTGCAGCCTACTCAGGTTATACACAACAAAAGCACGATTTGGAGGTATTATCCATTTTTACGGTCCCAGCAGAGTTTACAAAAAGTGGCAAAAGAGCAAAATTATCAAAAGCATTTCTTCTGCTCCAGCCATAAGGAGCTTTCATCATTACTGGGATGAGCCATTTAAGCTAGAGAAACTGGATACAGTTTAGAAAAACAACAAAAAAGACGAACCTCTAATTTAAAAAATAAAGGGCAACTGTGAACAATGACTTGGACTAGCATTTATTTTAACCCCTTTCACTGAAATAATTTTTGTCCTCTTTTGAATTACCCACCAGGCAAGCCCTATTGAAAGTGGGACATTTTTTCTGCTGACTGCAGACTTCAGGCTTCCCACTCAGGTGGAACTGAGAAGACCACGCACGGCCTTGTCTGGAGGCCCTGTCGAGAGGGAGGCAAGATTTATGAAGTCCAGGGCACACACGCGTCGCCACTGAGGAAGACAGATTTCTATTTTCGTGCCCTGCTCAACAGATAATTGAGTATACAGAACTTAACTTCGACTCTTTTCCTTTTCAGTTGGTATCCTTGTCTTCTTTTGCCCTTTATCATACGTGTTATTCAACTCCACACCCTAGAACTGCCAAAAGCCACCAAGCATTCATTCCCCCCTGAGATTAGAAGAGGAAATGAAACATTTTTATTTTCATCTAAAATAGGGCTCTAAGTGCTCAAATTTCAGATTAATCTACCTACACATGTAGATTAGAAGCTACTTAGCAGGAATAGCATCAGAAAAGGAAGTTCTCATCACCCTGGGCAGTTCACACTAATAATTAGAAAGAAAAAAGGAAAGCTGTGAATTACAGTGAACTGAGACTAAATAAGTGTCCATGTTGGATTAAAGAATTTGCGTTGTGAGTTTGATGTATAATGAATGTGAAAATAAGCCATTTAATTAAATGGTATATGATAGAACCACTTTGTTCTGTATTAAACCACTTGTGCAAACACAGCGCCTTTAGGTTAGCAATTGTTTACTATTACACCACCCCTTGATTTCTCTTAGATGCTGTTCAGCCCATATTACTTCACATTTGAAATCTGGAACTTACACAGTAATGTTAATTTGGCTGATATATTTCACCAGTTTATTAATGAATGTAAAAAAACAGGAAAACTGCTTGTCATCAAAAAGGGAAAACTTCCTAGAGGTAGTTGATTAAATAAGTCATAGAAACCAAGATGTCCATCACCTGAGGAATGGTTGAAAAAGATGTGGTATTTTTACACAATGGAGTATTATTCAGCTATTAAGAATGATAAAACTACAAGCCTTTATATTGAAGTGGATGCCACTTAAACATATACTCATAAGTGAAATAAACCAGACACACATGTGTAAATATCGTATAGTCTCCCTAGTATAAGAACTCAAAAAAAGAAATACAAATAGAAAGATATAATACAAGTTAAAGGAAAGCAGGATCTCAAGAACTAACTAATCAAGAGAGGGAAAGGAGAAGAACTAGGAAACATGACAATGTCAAGCCATACAGTTATATGTAAAAGATGAGCAAGGTAATGATCCTGAGAATCTTCAGAAGATTTTTTAATCTAGCAGTTAATTGGAAAGAATCTCACCTTGACTAACTATATATACTGATACCTGTGAACTAAGCTACTGCACTGCAGATGGTAATTTGTAATAGTAGTTTCCTGCTTAGAGAGCCTGTCATTCTGGTATTCTGAATATGGGCGGCTTGTCATGACATGACAGTTGCTGCTATGATGTCTCTCAGGTAGGTGGATGTTCAAGAAGAAGGGGGTGGTGAATGAAAGCAAGAGACAGGAAAAGGAATATTGTGGGACTGTCCTGCTTCAAGGTTGTATATGGTGAGATTTTTGGACTTATGTGCAAACATGAGAAGTATAGAATTCTTTATCCTATTTTTAAAATATAATCTAATTTTTAAATGTTTTTTATCATATTATGTAGGGACTTAAAGTTCAACATATCAATACTTGATGAAAAATACCTGTTCCTTATTATGCCTAAGATGTCTGATATGCAGACAGATAGTGAGGTTAAGCTTAATAGCCTAAGTTGCTTGATAATAATAAGCTTGTCTTGTGGATGGTTAACAACCTAAGTTTGCAGACCAAAATTAGAGAAAAAGGACGGCTGCAAGGAAAGCCAACATTTTGGCCCTAACCTTCTAAGGTCAATTAAGACTCAGGACATATGAGAACTTGTACTGTAATGTCATGTAACTCGGTAATGTCCCAAATTTTCTGATCAAGGAGATTATGGGGCCAAAGAGGAAAGTGACCGATGACGTAGAGTGTGCCTAAGGAGAGTCACATGGGAAGAAGACACTCTCTCAGGCTTTCACAGAGAGCACATTGGCCAAGCAATGGCCGTGACTCATCCACATGGCTGCACTGACAAAGGTTCTACAATCTGAGGTACAGGATTTCAGGATAAATCCTGAGGGGATTTGACTGACCTTCTCAGACCCAAAAGCTACAACTCTTGTTGCATAGGTTCTGCTTTACCTTGGACTTAACCATCTAGTAGAAAAGTATGAAGATGAAATATAGGAAGTAAAGCCATGCTGTTATGTTGAGCTGTGGGGGACTCAGGTCAACAATTTCTCACATTGCCAGTTACACAGAAGACCCAATGCTATTATGGGCTACTGGACTCTTTTAGAATATTTTGCTGAGTCTACACACCTATAATATTCAAATAACGGAACTTAACAAAAAAGGGTATACAGATGAATGTCCATTTCGTATCTGTGTATTCAAAGTGGTTAGGATAGATATATAGTTACATTCTCTTAATGAATAGAATGATTTGTTCTGATGGTGTCTGTAAATAGGATCTCAAGTCTGCATCTTGTACAGCAATTAACCACTAAGAAAAATGTATGCAGTGTGTTAATTATTGAAACTGTCCTAGCGATTTGATTTGAAACGGTCTCATTGCTATTTATCAATAAAATTATGAAAAATAAATAAATAAATAAGTCGTAGAGTACAAGAAGACTTCAGAAATCTCTAAAAGCAAAGTAGTATTTTTTAAATAAGCTATGTTTAATAATTTAGGCTCTTCAAATATTTTCTGGTCGTATGTTTATATCTCTAAAATGTCCAAAAGATCAGTTTTATAAGTTGGAAATTCTATTGGTCAACTTGAGCACTCAGGTTCCTGCAAACATCGTACTATCACAGATTGGAGTAGTGCCAGGCCTGACACATGTCATTTGACCATGCTAGGGGTTGGTCTACACAAAGAAGAAAAGATAGAATGGTAAAAGCAAAAGAAAGATAAGAAGGCCCTGACAGTCAATTAGGATTCTAAAAAAAAAACCCTAGAAACATTCTGAGGATAGAAGAATAAGCATGACCAAAAGGATTAAATCAGTCCAAACTCCTAACACTCAAATCATATACTTACTGCTACTGCAATTCTTCCGAGAACATGTTCTGGAATTTTCCTATATACATCCAAAGAGCCCCCTGTAGAGACAAACATGTTGTGTTACTATAAAGAAAAGCAGATCGGACCATTCCTCTGTGCATTTATTGTCAAAATACCTTTTTCCTCATTTTATAACATGCACTGGATACCAGACAAAACTGGAACTTATTCATTTTTTATATAACCAGACCTCCAGAAGAATTGTAACTAGATACTTTCCTTTATTTCTAAGTGGATATAGTCAGTCACATAATGACAAAAACTAAAGGAAACTAGTCAGGGCCTGTTAATCTGCATTTTATGGAAAGTTGTACATACTCAAAACTATGAAGATCAACATGACAGTCACATATGTCATGTCCTATAAACCTCTTTTTTCAAATGTAAATTAGGGCCCTAGCTTAAAATGTTCATATTAACCAAACAAAAGCTGATATTTGATATAAGGCTCAAAATATACCTAAGGACTTGCAAAGCAAAAATAACAATATTAACATTTATCTAAATGAATGCAACTCTCCAAATTTTAGGTACCAAGACAAGAAATCAATCTATCTTCAAGATATTATTTTGGTTGCTTGTTAAAAATTCTCTTTGATAACACTTGGAAAACTATTTTAAAAAGTAAAAAAGAAATCCCAATCTCTTTGCATTATAACTTATTTTTCATTCAAGTGGTGTTCACTAACACCTTCCATCTTCACTTAATTTAACTTTAAATTATTTTTGGCATTTTCCAAAAAATTAAAAGCCATTAGATCGTGAACAAAATGAAGGCAGGAACCACTTTTTGTTTGTTTTTTCATCAATTTGGAAATTAGCACCACTGGAGGACAATACAGTAGGTGTTCAATAAATATCTGTCAGATGACTAAATGCATGAGTCTAAGCTACCATGAATTTCCCCAGTTAGGTGTGGTTACTCTGAGGCAGTTTTAAAGAAGGAACCACAAACCATCCGTGGCAACAATATCACCACTGAACCCACTGAGACTTCCTAGATGACAACTTCCAAGGAACCAAATACTCCCTTGGAAGTAGATACTTGGGTATGCTTGTTAAATTTTCAATCTTGCGTAAGTGATACATGAATTTCAGGATTATAGTTTATGCAAAAAACTGTTACTTTACTCATTAATAATACAATAAGAATCACTTTATCACTGTGTTATAACCTTTCTTTTAAGAGTCATGATGTGGATAGTTTTTCAGTTCTACAGAGAGTTGCCTAGGACATGTGAGAAAAACATTTTTCCTATCAGAAACTAAAAATGTGCATTTACCACTTTACTATTGGATGACCTATTTGAATGCTTAATAAGGTAGAAATGCCATTCGTTTGAAATGCAGTCGAGTCTGTTTTGTGGTTGTATTTTTTATATCACATTTTTGTAAAGCTGGACAATAGAGAAAAAATTAAATAAAAACTTCAATGTAAAATATCAGATATGCATACATGAAGCTACCAGTTTTGCACTCATCCTGTTTAAAGGAGACAGAGGGGGGAAATCACTGTTCTAGATAAATTCTCCCTAGTTTCCAGATTCTGACAAGAAGTTGGGACACTAGTGTGTAACTAAAACTTACACTTCAGCTCTGGGAAGATCACGAGAAAAAGACATCTACAGTGACATGAACCACCCCTTACTTACTAAAGTAGTACTTTTACCACAGAGGCAGTACAAGTGAAAATATCAGAGGAAAAGAAAAGCCTATGTCTCATTGATCTTTCTGATGACCAGACTGTTGCAAAGACGAACAGGCCTGAGAAAGCCAAGCTTCACAGGGCACTTTGGAGAGCCATGAGAGCAGCTTATTGGATTAGTCCAATGAGCGGCTTGGGTGCTCACAACTTCAAGGTGCAAGTCCATCCACATGAGTCTAAGCTGCCATGAATTTCCCCAGTTCGATGACTCATTGTGGTAAGAAGTCCTACGAGGAGACTTACTTTTATATAGGATATGAATCAGAGCTTGCTTAATTAAACAGACAATGGTTTCAATAAGCTAAACCAAATAGCCAGAGACCACTTTATACCATTACCAGTAGAATAAGTCCCAAAGAAGCCCCATTTGGAGGTGTTTACTAGTTCATGTAAACATTCCTTTAATCCACTTGGGTCCCACCTTCCTTAGTCATCTATATGGATAAATCTTCATGTGCCTGGTTCTGTGTTGTCACCTGTCCTTTCCATGCTCATTAGAGATAAATGTCAGGGATGGAAAAAATAATATGGTAGCTATACCCAAAAGTAAAGTTCTGTTAAACTCTTTGTGCAGTTCAGTAACTCTTGTCAGACTAAAATGGCAGAGGGTTTGTGTTTAATTTTTACTCTTCTTACTATCATTTCTATCCTACAGGTTTATCTAAATAAGGAAACTCTTAGACTTACCAAATCACTAAGTATTAGTGCTAAAAGGGACACTGATGTGAGTCCACTCACCTTATATTTTTACTTAGATGTAAAATGTTCCCCCAAATTCTCAAGTACATAGAAGGTAAAAGGATTTATGGGGTACTGTACTCATCACTGGACGAGTCCACCTGTGAATCCAGAGCTGAATGTGCTGTTAGGAGCGGGGCCTGCTGGGGAGAGGTAGTGAACCAGGGCATGACCTTGAAGGGTGAATCTCACTCTTGGCTTTGTCCTTTGCTCTTTGCTTCCTGGTCACCATGATGCGAGTGACTTGTGTCACCAAACCTTTCCACCATGGCCTTCCTGTCATGGAACCAGCTGACTACAGACTAACCCTTTTATAAACCACAGCCAAAACAAACCTCTCTGCCTTTAAGGTGTGAATGTTGGGTACTTTGTCTCAGTGATGGGAGACTAACTAGGACATCTTATTTGACAAATGGGAGAAACTGAGTCCCAGAGTTATGAATATGATAGCTAAAGTCAAGCCTCATCAATGGCAGAGCTCACAAAGGAC